GATTGAAACTACATAAATTGATCTTACTGGCTAAGCTGCTTTGAAGGCGATGTATTACCATGGCCAAGGTTTCAGTCACAGAGTAGCCAGACTGCGATCAAATAATCCAATCCAGCCTGAGCATATTAGTATATATATGTATAATCTTCATAAATAAAAGTATCAAGTTATAATAAACATTTCACCACTTAGTATGTCTGTTATCACTCTGCAGGGCGACTGGGAAGAAAAGGTTGATTCTCTTACTCCCAGGGCTGTCATGCACACAAACCATATGTTTTGAACAAAAACAGACAAAAAAATTTATGTTCCTTTCAAACTGAATAAGGCACCTATCGTACAGATGACTACCAAAGGTGTTTTCTTCTTTAACATATGTTTTGCAAAAGCTTATACTTGAATATTAAAAGTACAGGATTAGTGGTGAGAATAAAAAAACTGTAAAGACCTTTGAGGTGAATGTGTTACTAGTTTATATAAATAAAAACTGACATGATTTGGCCTGTATTGAATCACATAAAATGTATTAATGCAATATATCAAATAGTCATGACCTGACTTAAACACCCCTCCAATCTACAAAATGACACTACAAAACATATTCCTTAAGAAGTAAATTAATGACCAAATATAAAACACCTTAACACCACGCTGTGATGAATGCAACAATCCCAACAAGCCAGTAACTAGACCTGTGTGCAGACTACAATTACAAATCAACCTCACAGCACACATAGCATACCAGTGATAAGACAAGTATGTAAAGAATTTTAATGAAATTATCAGTCTTGCCAAAAGCTACCAGCAGCCCTGTCCATGGTGCCTGAGAGGTGTTTGACAGTACACAATTCAATACACCCAGACAACAAACACAATACAGTTCATTATACCCATTGCAAGTCATGACACCAAATCAAAAGTGGCCCTTTTCACAGTCAGACATTTTTAGTTTCATAGAAAAGAACAACTGCCTATTACTAATAACATTAAAGATCTCTGTTCTCCTCAAGTTTCCCACTAAACATCCACGTGTGCAGTGAGCCAATATACCAGGAGCTTGAACCCAAAGCATCTAAATGAAAATGCCAGCAATTATCAATTTCATTATTTTATGGGAGCACTATTTCCTATAGTGTAGTGTAATGTCAAAATGTCTATTCACAGTCATGTACATAGAACATTAACATACCACGACTGTTTATTTAAAGAAAGCCCAGTTTTTAAGCAATGTCAAGAAAGAGTGTGCAAAAGAGGCTGTCTTCAAAGTATAAATTAAAAAAAAAATTAAAAAACCACGTCATAAATATAATCCTACATTATATTGTGGTCAATTCTCACACCTTGTCCAGTCTCTCAGGATCCATGCTAGCCAAGTCTTCAGTTTCTTCGTCAGTTTCTACATTCAGAAAAATACTGCGCCAGTCTGGGCTATCTACCCAGTCCTTACAGTCACACTGGCACCCAAGGTCTCAACCTCCTATATTCCCATCCAAGAATACATCAGTACA